CACGTCTTCTCCGAAATTGTTCACCTCTATTTTATTTAGCCTTTTTTATAATATTTTATAATAATCCTAAGATATACATATATATTTAGCCAACAAAAAAAGGTATAAATATACATTTTAAAAGATTAACATTATTATTATTTTTGCAATATGGGCAAATATTTTCACAACAATAATTTCTTGTACGTTTTGTATTTTTATTACAAAATTTATTGAATTTAATAACAATATTGAAACTTAAGAGTATTTTACAAATAACAACAAAAACTCATTATTATTGTTAGGATAAAGGTTATAATAACAAAACAAAAATTGAAATACACTCAAAAAAAATAATAAAAGTTTAGATAACAAGAACACATTACAAACTAATTTGGCAAAATCGTTAATTGTATGTATGTACCTTAATAAATAAAGTATTTTAATTTTTGTAAATAAAACAATATTTTTCCTCAAGTTTAAGTGTAATTTAGCCCAGGTACTTATGTATATTTTAGGTTGTCAGTAGGTGTACTAAGTTGCTTGGTCATGTTGCTCATCTAAAAACCATTGTCTGTCTAGTCTTTATTACTTATTACAACAAGTGCTTATCTATTGGTTTCTTATTATTTTTAGGTTTATCCTCTACTACTACTACTACACAACTTGTGTTTTCTTTAATTTTGTTCATTTTTTTATTATTACAGATTAAAGGCAAAACCAACAATCGAACAATTTTATCGTTATTAGTTTCGCCAACAGTCATTGAACAAGTTGCAAGTCATATTAAACAAGGGTAAGTACTTTTTCTAGAGAGCTGGTGATGTGGTCGTGTAGTTGCCTCTTTTAAAACAATTTTATTTTTTTCTATTATTCGATTTTTTGACTTGCAAACAAAAGGTGATATACATATTAAACTTGGTATTATTTATACTTAAAGAAAGAAAAAATAACTATTTAAGTACCTTTCAGAAAACAAAACAACTCAAAAGATTTCTATGAAAACTTTAGTTAAAAACGTGTTTGTTAACCTTACAAAGTAAATTTTAATTTATAGGAAATTCTTTTTAAATTTTCTTTTTATAGAAAATTTTCAATAAAATTTCTTTCTATATAAAAATTTCGTTAATTTTTTTTCTAAAGAAAATTGGCAGTAAATTTCATTTCTATATAACATTTTCAATAAAATTTATTTATATAGAAAATTTTCTTTAAATTTCCTTTTTGTAGATCATTTTTGATAAATTGTTTTCGATAATTGTCTTATAGAACATTTTCAATAAATTTTCTTTGTATAGAAAAATTGTCTTCAAACAATTTTGCTTTTTATGAATATTTTCGATAAATTTTCTTCTATTTTGAATAAATTTTATATAAAATTATCGATGAATTTTATAGAAAATTTTCGATGAATTTTCCTTTTTTATAGAAATCTTTTGATATATATATTTTTTTCTTTTTTTTAATTTTCTATAAATTTTGGTTTTTAGAAACTTTTTGCTAAATTTTCTGTTTTAATAAAAAAATATCGATCAATTTTCATTATATAGGGAAATTTTGATAAATTTTTTAATAGAAAATTTTCTATAAATTTTATTTTTAAAGAAATTTTCGATAAATTTTCTTTTTATAGAAAAATTTCTTTTTATAGAAAATTTTCGATAAATTTTCTTTTTATAGAAAATTTTCGATAAATTTTCTTTTTATAGAAAATTTTCGATAAATTTTCTTTTTATAGAAAATTTTCGATAAATTTTCTTTTAATAGAAAATTTTCGATAAATTTTATTTTTATAGAAAATTTTCAATAAATTTTCTTTTATAGAAAATTTTCAATAAATTTTCTTTTTATAGAAAATTTTCAATAAATTTTCTTTTTATAGAAAATTTTCAATAAACTTTCTTTTTATAGATAGTTTCCGATAAATTTTCTTTTTATAGATAGTTTTCGATAAATTTTCTTTTTATAGATAGTTTTCGATAAATTTTCTTTTTATAGATAGTTTTCGATAAATTTTCTTTTTATAGATAGTTTTTGATAAATTTTCTTTTTATAGATAATTTTCGATAAATTTTCTTTTTATAGATAGTTTTCGATAAATTTTCTTTTTGTAGATAGTTTTCGATAAATTTTCGTTTTATAGATAATCTTCGATAAATATTCTTTTTATAGATAGTTTTCGATAAATTTTCGATCAATTTTCATTATATAGGGAAATTTTGATAAATTTTTTAATAGAAAATTTTCTATAAATTTTCTTTTTAAAGAAATTTTCGATAAATTTTCTTTTTATAGAAAAATTTCTTTTTATAGAAAATTTTCGATAAATTTTCTTTTTATAGAAAATTTTCGATAAATTTTCTTTTTATAGAAAATTTTCGATAAATTTTCTTTTTATAGAAAATTTTCGATAAATTTTCTTTTAATAGAAAATTTTCGATAAATTTTATTTTTATAGAAAATTTTCAATAAATTTTATTTTTATAGAAAATTTTCAATAAATTTTCTTTTTATAGAAAATTTTCAATAAATTTTCTTTTTATAGAAAATTTTCAATAAATTTTCTTTTTATAGAAAATTTTCAATAAACTTTCTTTTTATAGATAGTTTCCGATAAATTTTCTTTTTATAGATAGTTTTCGATAAATTTTCTTTTTATAGATAGTTTTCGATAAATTTTCTTTTTATAGATAGTTTTCGATAAATTTTCTTTTTATAGATAGTTTTTGATAAATTTTCTTTTTATAGATAATTTTCGATAAATTTTCTTTTTATAGATAGTTTTCGATAAATTTTCTTTTTGTAGATAGTTTTCGATAAATTTTCGTTTTATAGATAATCTTCGATAAATATTCTTTTTATAGATAGTTTTCGATAAATTTTCTTTTTATAGATAGTTTTCGATAAATTTTCTTTTATAGATAGTTTTCGATAAATTTTCTCTTTTTAGATAGTTTTCGATAAATTTTCTTTTTATAGAAAATTTTCGATAAATTCTCTTTTTATAGAAAATTTTCCATAAATTTTCTTTTTATAGAAAATTTTCCATAAATTTTCTTTTTATAGAAAATTTTCCATAAGTTTTTTTACAGAAAAATTTCGATAAATTTTCTTTTTAACAGAAAATTTTAGAAACATTTTATTAAAGAAAATGTTCGATAAACGATGTTTTTTTTATAGGAAACTTTCAATCAATTTACTTCCTTTATAGAAAATTCTCAATAAAATTTCATCTCTTAAAGAAAACTTAGACAAATTTTCCTCTTTTACGTAAAATTTTTAATTTTCTTCATTTTTTAGAAAATTTTCGATAAATTTTCTTTTTTTCTGTTTTCAAGATACGTTTAATGGTTAAATTTAACTCGAAAGAGCCAATAAATTTCTAGGCATTTCGGTAATACTTGACTAAGTACATATCCATACATACATTTCAATAGAAGGAGAAAAACTACATAAATCCTTGAAAACGTATTTAAATATTGTACTCGTACTCCAATAAGAACTAAAAATAAACGAATGAACACAAAAGTGTTTATGGTTAACAAGAGCATTTTATAAAACGTGCAAGAAATGAAGCACCCAAAACAAAATTCATACTTTAAAATATAAACCCTGCAGTCTTACTGCTGCCTGATTCAGGCGTTGGTTCATAGCCCAATTTAAAATAAATATCTGGAAAACACCATTAATTGACCACCATACGCTAGTGATTAAACCAGTAAAAGACAATGTTGGCCAATGAATGCTTCATCAGTTAATAGCATATAATAACAAATGCATAATAACATTGAGAGTAAAAAATTTTTTCGATTATTTTTATACGAGTACAGAGTTTTAATAGATTCGTTAACAAGGCTTTGGTTCCATGCTTTGCAGGTTTTTTATGAACACCCACATCAACCAATTTACCAATATACAAGAACAATGTAAATGCGTACAAATTGGCCAAGAATTTATAGTTTTAAGACTATTTTGAATAACTTGTAAAGGTCTTTTACATTTTATGTACACAAGTATTTTCTATATGTATGTATATAAAATAAGCAGTATTTAAGTATTCCATTATATTTGCAGCCACTCCAACACTCTATTCTTTACAAGTATAATTGCAAAAGTATCTCTATATTCTTATGAATTTTATACACTTAAACATACTTTACATCTTCAATTCTTTTTCGTAACATTTTCTAAAGAGTTTTTGAAATAAAATGAATAAACTTGTAGAAATATTTAACATAATTTTTTTCCTTTACTTCCTTAAATATTTGGAAATGTTAAAAAAAAAGAAATCAAATAAATGTTTTTAAAACAAGGAAGAGAAAATTAGGAACAAGACCATAAAAAACCAACTGTAAAATGTGGCTTAAATGGGGTCAATCAATGGAGTGTTCATTTGTAGTAAATAGTTTTTGGCAGAATAAGTATATTTTTTTCTTGCTCTTTTGTCTTTCGTTATTCATTAGTTATTAAGAATTTTCACTTGTAAAATGAAAACATAATAATAGGATCTATAGCAAAAGTTACAATTGTTAAACGAGCATAAATTTAGGCGGACAAGTGCTGATTTTCTATTTTTACCATTTTTTTGTTAAATCCAAAAAAAGCGAGAATAAATTAAAATATTCTAGAGTATTCAATTGCTTTTCAATCGTAAAGATAAAAACTTTGTCGTTATGGTGAAGAAACAGTGGAAAAAATCCTCAAAGTAATGGCTTCGAATTAAATTAAGCACAGAATAACACATCACATAGAATTAAAATTCCATTTATATACTTACATAATACGTATGTATGTAATGCTGAAAGTAAATTTTTATACTATACAACAAGAAGTGGACAAAGTACAAATGAATTCCACTCAAAAGTAAAAGAAGGTTATTTTTGTGCTATTTTTCCATTAGAACCGAACTAGAACAGGGCAAAAACTGAACAAGAACTGAACTAGAACTGCACTAGAACTGAACTAGAACTGAACTAGAACTAGAACTGAACTAGAACTGAACTAGAACTGAACTAGAACTGAACTAGACTGAACTAGAACTGAACTAGAACTGAACTAGAACTGAACTAGAACTGAACTAGAACTGAACTAGAACTGAACTAGAACTGAACTAGAACTGAACTAGAACTGAACTAGAACTGAACTAGAACTGAACTAGAACTGAACTAGAACTGAACTAGAACTGAACTAGAACTGAACTAGAACTGAACTAGAACTGAAACTAGAATGAACTAGAACTAATACTGAACTAGAACTGAACTAGAACTGAACTAGAACTGAACTAGAACTGAACTAGAACTGAACTAGAACTAGAATAACTGAACTAGAACTGAACTAGAACTGAACTAGAACTGAACTAGAACTGAACTAGAACTGAACTAGAACTGAACTAGAACTGAACTAGAACTGAACTAGAACTGAACTAGAACTGAACTAGAACTGAACTAGAACTGAACTAGAACTGAAACTAGAACTGAACTAGAACTGAACTAGAACTGAACTAGAACTGAACTAGAACTGAACTAGAACTGAACTAGAACTGAACTAGAACTGAACTAGAACTGAACTAGAACTGAACTAGAACTGAACTAGAACTGAACTAGAACTGAACTAGAACTGAACTAGAACTGAACTAGAACTGAACTAGAACTGAACTAGAACTGAACTAGAACTGAACTAGAACTGAACTAGAACTGAACTAGAACTGAACTAGAACTGAACTAGAACTGAACTAGAACTGAACTAGAACTGAACTAGAACTGAACTAGAACTGAACTAGAACTGAACTAGAACTGAACTAGAACTGAACTAGAACTGAACTAGAACTGAACTAGAACTGAACTAGAACTGAACTAGAACTGAACTAGAACTGAACTAGAACTGAACTAGAACTGAACTAGAACTGAACTAGAACTGAACTAGAACTGAACTAGAACTGAACTAGAACTGAACTAGAACTGAACTAGAACTGAACTAGAACTGAACTAGAACTGAACTAGAACTGAACTAGAACTGAACTAGAACTGAACTAGAACTGAACTAGAACTGAACTAGAACTGAACTAGAACTGAACTAGAAACTGAACTAGAACTGAACTAGAACTGAACTAAACTGAACTAGAACTGAACTAGAACTGAACTAGAACTGAACTAGAACTGAACTAGAACTGAACTAGAAAACTGAACTAACTAGAAGCTAGAACTAACTGAAAGAAAATAGAAAAAAACTGAACTAGAACTGAACTAGAACTTAACTAGAACTGACTAGAACTGAACTAGAACTGAACTAGAACTGAACTAGAACTGAACTAGAACTGAACTAGAACTGAACTAGAACTGAACTAGAACTGAACTAGAACTGAACTAGAACTGAACTAGAACTGAACTAGAACTGAACTAGAACTGAACTAGAACTGAACTAGAACTGAACTAGAACTGAACTAGAACTGAACTAGAACTGAACTAGAACTGAACTAGAACTGAACTAGAACTGAACTAGAACTGAACTAGAACTGAACTAGAACTGAACTAGAACTGAACTAGAACTGAACTAGAACTGAACTAGAACTGAACTAGAATGAACTAGAACTGAACTAGAACTGAACTAGAACTGAACTAGAACTAGAACTAGAACTAGAACTGAACTAGAACTGAACTAGAACTGAACTAGAACTGAACTAGAACTGACTAGAACTGAACTAGAACTGAACTAGAACTGAACTAGAACTGAACTAGAGCTGAACTAAGCCTAAACTAAAACTGAACTAAAACTGAACTAAACTGAACTAGAACTGAAATACAACGAAAATAGAATGGCAAAGGTACTAAACCATTAGGTAAAAAATGAAGTTGCAATTTTAGTTAATAATTTAATGTGAAATATTTTAGGCTCTAATTACTCTCAAGGTCATTCATTATAAGTTTATGTTTCATAGAACCATTAGCAACAATGTCAAGTTTAATAAATTGTTCAAAATTATAATATATGTATATTAAATTTCACTAATAAATTTAATAAATTTTTACCTTATTAAAATAATAATTAAATATTAAGTTTTTTTCTAAATAAACACTAACAATTTACATTTAGCCAACTCTGTTGTTGCAAAAATTTCTAATTTAGTTTATATTTGCAGCTCATTATGCTGTAACTAATATAGAAGCAGTAAGTAATACAGCAAACTACTTGCTACGTCTACTAAGTACTTAAAGTTTTGACTGCTACTAGTGCGTTAATTAGCTGTTGCAAACAACAAAATTTTTAACGTCAACAAAAAACTTTAAAACTACAAAAATTAAATGTGTATGTGTGTGTGTGAGTAAGCGAATCAAAACTTTAAGGACGTTCTAATGAGCGTTTACTTTATTTACAACATTACAGTATAGTACAATATTTTGTGCAATACTAAATAAATAAAAAATATTTCATACGAAACTAGAAGACGAAAATAGTTGACTGAACAAAAATTTCTTTTCATAAAGAAAAAGTTAGTTATTTATAGTTTTGCAACAACTTTTATACGCAATTTCTACAAACAATTGAGTGGCTTAAAATTTTCAAACATTCAAACAAATTATTATTAACCTTATTAACACTAAGAGTAGAGGAAATATTTTAAGGAATTAATTATGGCAGATTTTTAATTTTAAAGATGAAAGAGTATATTGCTGGGTATTAAATAGGTAATTTAGTATTAATCATTTAAATTTGTTCGGTTGTCATAGTGTTAATTATTAATTAAAAATTTGACTTTCTTTCAATTAGTTGACATTTTCAAATGTTTTATTTAAGGCTTAATTCAGCCTTGTTTTTTTAGTTTTTATTAATGGTTATTTTCAGCTAATTAATATTTGAAGGACAAATACTTTTAGGTTTAGGATGATTGTATTTTCGCTCATGTTTTTTTAATGAAGAAACTATACAAAAACAAATAATGAATAAATGCTAGTCGTCCTGTGAGTTGATTTCAAATTAAGTTATAGTTCAGTTCAATTTAGTGTTTTAATAAAAAAATACAAATTTTTAATAAAAATCATAAAAATATTTTTCTAGAAACCTTGAGTCCGCCTTAGAGACAAAATTTCGCTCGCTGCTCGAAGAAATGTTTATCAATTGGACAACACAGATACATGAAATTATACAAGAGAAATCAGATTGTGTCCACAGTTCCAACACGCCGGCAGCAGCCAGAGCAATGAAATCTTCTATTGTAACAGTCACAACGCCACAGCAAGAAATACATTTCTGGTTAAATCGTCAGCAAAATTTACAAAACATCTACAATCAATTAAGAGAAAGCTCTCACAAAACTCTAGCATTTATATTAGAATCCATAGATTCTGCCTACTATCTACCATTTATGAAAATTTTCAAGCGACTTATTTTTGCCTGGCAAGAATCCAAGGACATAACCTTATGGCTGCAGCCATTATTGCGCCAAACGGCCACTTTTAATGCGGTAAATTTCTGTAATGCCCAGGAATTAATTGCTCCCTTGGTGCATGTTATCCATTTAATATGGTCTAACGCTCGTCATTATCGCACTACTCAACGTATGACGGTGCTATTGCGTTGTATTTGTAATTTAATGGTACGTAGGGCAGCAGAAGATTTAGAGGTTTCTACACTCTTTCATACTGAAGCCGATGAGGGTCTTTTGAAGATCTGCAGAACCATAGAAATTTTGGAAATGTTTAAGTGAGTTGGATTCTGATTATTATAAAACATAAATTGTGTTTTAATATTTATGATTTTTACCAGATCCAAACTTTTGGAGTATAAAACAAAGTATACCAGTAATCAAACTATATTACCAGCTTTGCCTCCTTTGGTTTCAAGTCCTGCTCCAGCAGATTCTTTGCCATTTTCTCCCCCATCGATGGAGTTACAGCAGTTGTGGCGTTTTTCCAATGAAGATGTTTTTGGTTTAGCTTTTAATGGTTTCCTGGAACAACTGTTGGAATTACAAACAATATTTGAAGCTGCTGTTACTTTTCAAAGTTTAGAGAAATTGGAAATTGGTGGCAGTCGTGGTAAAATGTTAACCGATAGAATACGTCAGGTAAAAAATATACATTTTTTATTATTTTAATTATTTTATTTGTTCCCTTTGTAACTTTTTCAGATACACTCGGAATTCAAACTACTGTTTGAGGACTGGACTAAACTGGAAATCGATTTGGGTCAATCACCATCAGTTGCCGCTACGAAACTTTACTTACAACCACATTAAAAGACAAACCTTTAAAAGAGAAACAGATTATTTTTTTCCAACGCATGCATGTATTAGAGAAAAAATTAGCCACCATATTGCAGCAAGCCTACAATGATTGTCACAACTGGGAGCAACTCGCAAAGGTGAGATAGTGTGTTTGAAAGGTTTAACTATATAGCTGAACTGAACTAGAACTGAACTAGAACTGAACTAGAATGAACTAGAACTGAACTAGAACCAAACTAGACCTGAACTAGAACTGAACTAGAACTGAACTAGAACTGAACTAGAACTGAACTAGACTGAACTAGAACTGAACTAGAACTGAACTAGAACTGAACTAGAACTGAACTAGAACTGAACTACTGAAACTAGAACTGACTAACTGAACTAGAACTGAACTAAGAACTGAACTAGGAACTGAACATAGAACTGAAACTAGACTGAACTAGAACTGAACAGAACTGAACGAAACTGAAACTAGAACTGAACTACGAACTGAACTAGAACTGAACCTAGAAACTGAACTAGAACGTGAACTAGAACTGAATAGAACTGAAACTAGACGGAACTAGAACTGAAAACTATAACTGAACTAGACTGAACTAGAACTGAACTAGAACTGAACTAGAACTGAACTAAGAACTGAACTAGAACTGAACTAGAAACTGAACTAGAACTGAAGCTAGAACTGGAACTAGAACTGAACTAGAACTGAACTAAGAAACTGAACTAGAACTGAACTAGAACTGAACTAGAACTGAACTAGAACCTGAACTAGAACTTGAACTAGAACTGAACTAGAACTGAAGAGAACTGAACTAGACTGAAACACGAGAACTGAACTAGAACTGAATCTAGAACTGAAACTAGAACTGAACTAGAAACTGAACTAGAACTAACTTAGAACTGAACTAGAACTGAACTAGAACTGAACTAGAACTGAACTAGAACTGAACTAGAACTGAACTAGAACTGAACTAGAACTGAACTAGAACTGAACTAGAACTGAACTAGAACTGAACTAGAACTGAACTAGAACTGAACTAGAACTGAACTAGAACTGAACTAGAACTGAACTAGAGCTGAACTAGAACTGAACTAGAACTGAACTAGAACTGAACTAGAACTGAACTAGAACTGAACTAGAACTGAACTAGAACTGAACTAGAACTGAACTAGAACTGAACTAGAACTGAACTAGAACTGAACTAGAACTGAACTAGAACTGAACTAGAACTGAACTAGAACTGAACTAGAACTGAACTAGAACTGAACTAGAACTGAACTAGAACTGAACTAGAACTGAACTAGAACTGAACTAGAACTGAACTAGAACTGAACTAGAACTGAACTAGAACTGAACTAGATTGGAACTAGTACGGAACTAGAAATAGAACTGGATTCAATCTGATACTAATTTCAAAATTAGAATTTGTTGACACCATCAGTTAAATCGATTAAAATCTGTAAATTTCTCCTTCCGCTGACCAACCACTGTTAATACACAGCCCTCTCTCCTTAACCAATGTCATTTGTCACCATCTACCTTTACATCCTTTAAACTCTTCAATTCAAAAATGTCTTTTAACCTTTTACCAACTTTCAACCGAAATTTTCAATCATTTCTCTTCTTTTTTATTTCTTTTCAATTATTTTTTTCTCCCTTTTACGTACATATGTGTGTGTTCCTACTTTTTGTGGTAATAATGGTTGACATGAATGCCTGGTTGGATGGTTGTGCGAAAGAAAATTCCGTTCTTTTTTTTATTTAGCTTACAACAATGTTTGCCAATATCGTGCAACGACAAACCATTCAAACCGAATTAATGGTAATTTTACCGCACATCTTTAGCGTATTGAAGGAAGAATTGCTTTTGATTGAAACCATTGTCAGTGAAGTGCTATTGGCATTTGAATATAAAGGTGTTGAAGCCATACCAATGGAAATGAATTTTCCAACTATAGCTGGTGCCATGATGTGGTTGGAGAATTATATGAAAAGATGCGATGTATTTGCTGGCAATGAATTGAATGCTTTAATAACTACACTGTAAGTAAGTGTATGTTAATTGGAAATAAACAGAAAAATACAATAGAATTAAGTTAATGCAGGTACAGAGCAACAAAAAAATATGAATTAATGCGTGAATAAGTTTTTGAGAATACACTGGGAAGAAAATGGCTGAAATATTTTATGTATAAAATATCCATAAATCTGCACCACTACAGTTGGAGGATACAATGCATTTGTACATCGAGAAATGTTGTTCCTTTACAAATCAGAATTATATTTCGGTCAATTTAGTGACTGTTATACTGTTACCCTCCCATTTCTCTCTGTAAACTTACTGAAGGTTGCACTTATACAAATAAAATTAAATTTGTTAAGTCACCTCACATTGAAATTCTTTCAGTGTACTCTCACACTTACACTAGTTTTATTTTAAATAAGAATTATGTCAAAACCATTCTTCCCTAAACATCAACGAGATACAAATAAACTTTACCAAAATCCGCAATATTTCAATTCAAATTTTTATTACGATTGAAGCACCAGAGAATGGTTTTGATGTTTCAAGAAAGATCCTTTGTTACTGAGACAAATTTTCTTCATGTATTTTTGGTTGATTTACTAAATAGCGTTAAGTAATTTTCAACATCTTTTCTACTCTACACTTCAATACACAAACAAATACCAATGTCATGTTATCCTGGCAATTACTCACACATACAAATACACACCATCCCCACACATCCTTTTAGTCTTACTGCTGACAATCCTTTAAGTTCACAATATGAAAAGTTGACTGCTCGACGCGATATTTTGACAACAAAACTTAGTAATTTGCAGTTGAAAATTTGGAACAATTGGCAGCAGACAATTGAGAAACGCATTGCCAAAGGACTCGATTCAAAAGTGATGATGATGACGATGTCGACAATGAAACCAAAAAACCAACAACAGCAACAAAATTGTACTAGTAGTTCTGTTGAAAATCTAGCAGAAGCTGAAGGTTACACTGATGTGAGTATTAGATGTAGAAGCAGTGACTGTGTTAGTAAGCGAAATAAAAAACTCAAAAACACCTGGCTGGCCAACAACCAAGCTCAATCCTATTCTTCTCCAACCAATGCTTCTGCTGCTTATTGTCATCATGTCAACACTGCTTTAACTGACAAAACCGATTCTACTTTTGGATTTTTATACAATTCTAATGAAAGACTTTGTAATGCTTTGGCAGAGGACGATGTTTTAAATAAATCATCATTTGTTAGTGACATGAAAATCCTGAAAATCAATTTATCCATAGAACTTTTTACCTTATTGAGGGAAACGAAATATATGTTAGCTCTACAAGAAATTCATAAGAGACAAAAACATCAGGGCGAGACTACAGCTACAACTACATCTTCCAATAGCCAGTTAACAACACAATTAACAGTTGTGTCTCTAACTCAGCAACATCAGCAACTGCATTTACAACAGCAGCAACAACAACCTCATCAGTTGCCTTTAACACTTTTAGATTTGTACGCACAGCGCGATATATTTTGGCAGCGTAAGATCAAACTAATGAAAATCGCCGAATACTACAACAGCATCAGGGAGGGCTTAAATACATCCAACGAAATGCAATTAATTCAGCCTGTAGTCGATGTCATCGATGAACGTGTGGAATGCGCTAGCAAAACATTGACATGGCGGTACTTTGGTAAGTAGAGTTACATGATAATCTCTACCCTGTAGTTTTGAAAATATTAAGTTGATCACTTTACAATACAAGAAATGAAACTTAACTATAGAGTAGACAATAGACTATGGACTAAACTATGGTCTAGACTAAAGGCAAGACTATAGACTAGACAAAGGCTAGACTATAGACTAGACAAAGGCTAGACTATAGACTATACTATAGACTATACTATAGACTATACTATAGACTATACTATAGACTAGACTATAGACTAGACTATAGACTATACTATAGACTAGACTATAGACTAGGCTATAGTCTAGACTATGGAATAGACAATAGACTAGACTATAGTCTAGACTATAGACTAGACTATTGACTAGATTATATACTAGACTATAGACTAGACTATAGACTAGACTATAGACTAGACTATAGACTAGACTATAGACTAGACTATAGACTATAGGATAGACTATAGACTAGACTATAGACTAGACTATAGACTAAACTATACACTAGAATATAGACTAGACTTTAGACTACATTATAGACTAGACTATAGACTAGACTATAGACTAAACTATATACTAGAATACAGACTAGACTATAGACTAAACTATATACTAAAATATAGTCTAGACTATAGACTAGACTGTATACTAGACTATAGACTAGACTATAGACTAGACTATAGACTAGACTATAGACTAGACTATAGACTAGACTATAGACTAGGACTAGACTATAGACTAGACTATAGACTAGACTATAGGACTAGACTATAGACTAGACTATAGACTAGACTATAGACTAGACTATAGACTAGACTATAGACTAGACTATAGACTAGACTATAGACTAGACTATAGACTAGACTATAGACTAGACTATAGACTAGACTATAGACTAGACTATAGACTAGACTATAGACTAGACTATAGACTAGACTATAGACTAGACTATAGACTAGACTATAGACTAGACTATAGACTAGACTATAGACTAGACTATAGACTAGACTATAGACTAGACTATAGACTAGACTATAGACTAGACTATAGACTAGACTATAGACTAGACTATAGACTAGACTATAGACTAGACTATAGACTAGACTATAGACTAGACTATAGACTAGACTATAGACTAGACTATAGACTAGACTATAGACTAGACTATAGACTAGACTATAGACTAGACTATAGACTAGACTATAGACTAGACTATAGACTAGACTATAGACTAGACTATAGACTAGACTATAGACTAGACTATAGACTAGACTATAGACTAGACTATAGACTAGACTATAGACTAGACTATAGACTAGACTATAGACTAGACTATAGACTAGACTATAGCTAGGACTATAGACTAGACTATAGACTAGACTATAGACTAGACTATAGACTAGACTATAGACTAGACTATAGACTGCATAGACAATAGTGGACTATAGACTAGACTATAGACTAGACTATAGACTAGAAGACTAGACTAGACTAGATAGACTAGACTAGACTAGCTAGACAGATAGACTAGACTAGACTAGACTAGACTAGACTACTAGACTAGACTAGACTGGACTAGACTAGACAGACTAGATAGACTAGACTAGACTAGACTAGACTAGACTAGACTAGACTAGACTAGACTAGACTAGACTAGACTAGACTAGACTAGACTAGACTAGACTAGACTAGACTAGACTAGACTAGACTAGACTAGACTAGACTAGACTAGACTAGACTAGAACTAACTATAGACTAGACTAGACTAGACTAGACTAGACTAGACTAGACTAGACTAGACTAGACTAGACTAGACTAGACTAGACTAGACTAGACTAGACTAGACTAGACTAGACTAGACTAGACTAGACTAGACTAGACTAGACTAGACTAGACTAGACTAGACTAGACTAGACTAGACTAGACTAGACTAGACTAGACTAGACTAGACTAGACTAGACTAGACTAGACTAGACTAGACTAGACTAGACTAGACTAGACTAGACTAGACTAGACTAGACTAGACTAGACTAGACTAGACTAGACTAGACTAGACTAGACTAGACTAGACTAGACTAGACTAGACTAGACTAGACTAGACTAGACTAGACTAGACTAGACTAGACTAGACTAGACTAGACTAGACTAGACTATAGACTAGACTATAGACTAGACTATAGACTAGACTATAGACCTAGACTATAGACTAGACTATAGACTAGACTATAGACTAGACTATAGACTAGACTATAGACTAGACTATAGACTAGACTATAGACTAGACTAGACTATAGACTAGACTATAGACTAGACTATAGACTAGACTATAGACTAGACTATAGACTAGACTATAGACTAGACTATAGACTAGACTATAGACTAGACTATAGACTAGACTATAGACTAGACTATAGACTAGACTATAGACTAGACTATAGACTAGACTATAGACTAGACTATAGACTAGACTATAGACTAGACTATAGACTAGACTATAGACTAGACTATAGACTAGACTATAGACTAGACTATAGACTAGACTATAGACTAGACTATAGACTAGACTATAGACTAGACTATAGACTAGACTATAGACAATAGATTGGACTATAGACTAGACTATAGACTAGACTATAGACTAGACTATAGACTAGACTATAGACTAGACTATAGACTAGACTATAGACTAGACTATAGACTAGACTATAGACTAGACTATAGACTAGACTATAGACTAGACTATAGACTAGACTATAGACTAGACTATAGACTAGACTATAGACTAGACTATAGACTAGACTATAGACTAGACTATAGACTAGACTATAGACTAGACTATAGACTATACTACATAGACTGCATAGACAATAGATTGGACTATAGACTAGACTATAGACTAGATTATAACTAGAATTTACACTAAACTATAAATTAAATAAATTACAGTAGAATAATTTTAGTATGCAGTTTTCTACAAATCTGCTTGGTAATTATTTTGCTACATACATATCTATGATCATGGAAACATATTTCTTTGTGTATATTTCTACGTAATGGTAATTATTTGCTATTAAAATTGTAGTATATTTTCATGTCACAATTTGAACTTATTGAGTTCGTCACACAATTAATCGGCAGCAAAATTTAATTTTCTGTTTATTTTTCATTGTATTAGAATGTTATGTGGTTTGTTGAAACTTGTTTAAAGTCCATGTTAATCAGCATGATTTGGAGGATGAATAAATAACACATGAACAATAATTAATTATCTTCATAAAGACTATCACAATCGAATTAACTAAGCTAATTACCAGATCAGAACATTTCTTGAGATCGTTTAATTTTCTATTCTTCTTAAATTCTTATCTTTAAAAATATTCCCACAGATGCGGAACTTGTCGATGATATTTATAAGAAAACGCAAACATTACATTCACGCCTGCAAGACACACGTAAAAATATACAAACTATACTTGATAGTGTTAGACGCTGGAGTCGTGAACCTTTGCATCAGCGTAGTCTTTATGGCAAAAATTTGCTGGAATTGAAACACCAAAAAGAACGTCTAAGGACTCGCGTTATGCAATGTGAAGAAACAAAATTGCTGCTGAATCGTTTGTTAATAGAAAATTTCTATTTATTCTTTAATTATGGAAAACAGGAGAAAGATATACAGGACAAAAACATACTAGAGGTAAATTAAAATTATGAAAATTATTATGAAAAATTACTTATATTAATTATCTTTTCTAACTATTTACAACAGTTTCTTCGTCTTTTCCCTGAACATCAACGCAGCAAATACATTTCATATTTAAAATCCATTGATGATTTAATTTATCAAGAAGTAAAATATGCCATGAAAATCAGGTTAAAGCAAATATTTTAATAATTTATCAAAACCCATTAACTTTACATCATTGTCAATCATTCCTTTTTTTATGAAAATCATTTTGATAATACAAAGATTAACAACACGATTAAATATCATGTTTGCTTTAAAATTAAAATTATAAACTGTTGCTCTTATTGACTCTGACCTCCTTACCCTTCGCTTTTTAATGTAAATTAATTTATTTTATTAAATTTTCAAAAAAAAAAAACTTATCACACTCCAATTATTTCAATATTTATTCTTTGTTTTGTATATTTAATGCAAGAAATAACGCCATTTACTTTTTAACGCCTCCACTTAAATAAAGTCTACAATAAACATGTTGTTGCATGCACGAACATGTCATATTTTGATTTAACTATTCGTGTCTGAATAAAACTAATCAAACAATTGTATCAACACTGCAAACAAACGATGTCAAAAGGAAGTTGAATGGTGGGTGACGTTTGTTTTTGGAACACAGAGTTTAGAAACACATTTAAGACGTTAAACGAAAAGTTTGATTAGACTATGAACTAGTCTGATAATAAGAGTATTGGTTTGCCTGTGGCTTGGTCTATGGATTAGTCTATGGTCTAGTCTACTGAGAGGTCTATGAACTAGTCTATGGACTATTCCATGATCAAGCCTATCGGTTAGATTATTAACAAGTCTGTGGATAAGTAGACTAGTCTAGTCCATAGGTCATTGACAAGTCAATTCACTAGACTATTGACTTGTCTATGGTATAGTCTATTGACTAGCCTAAGAACTAGTAACTTTTCTTATACTTTCACTAATTATTTCCTCACACCTAAGTAACCCTTTCTCCAAAAAAAAGAAACAATTATTTTAAAAGCCTATTTCCATCCACACTTCGTATTCTGAGTTAAATCACAATTTCCATTTTAATTATAAAGAAATTTTGTGTGAAACATTATTGCAAATGAAGACAGTGAATATCTACATATCGTCACCTACTCACCCCTACACAAAAAGCAAAGCAATAAATTTAAGTATCAATGCACCTCATTTAACCAGCAAACGATGACAGGCGAATTGCTACAAATGATACTTACAACAACAGAATATCATCATCCACAACATCATCATTATCATCGAAACCTACAATATCATTATCATCTTTATAATCGTAGTTGCAGTAATTTTTTCATACTCATTTACATTATCGTCAAGTAGAGTCATTGTCATTGTAGTCATCAACAACATTTTGAAATAAAGACAAAAGAAACAACAAGACGAACGAATGAAAAATAAACAGTAGAGAAAAAACCAACAACACAGTAACATTTTGTGGTATTTTTGCAATTGCATGCAACATGCACACTCCAAAATTCAACTTAATGTACACAACGTTCATACGGCTCGTCACACACGACTGCAGCTTAGAGTATTTGTACAATGAAATGTCTACAACCGCAACAACGACAGTGCAATCAGCAACAGCTACAGAAAACAACAACGCAACAACGTCGGCAGCAAATTCAAAGTTGGCTTTAGCAACAATAACGGAAACTAAAACCAGGACATTTTATTATCACCCCTTAAAAAACATGAAATCAATGGAAACGTCAACGAAAACAACAGTAACAGCAACAACGACAATTAACGTGGAAGTCACATCCCCATCATCGTTGTTGTCGTCATCACCAACAACAACAACAACTAAAAGCACCACAACAAACGCCAAACACTTTCTACCCGAACTACTTAAAAACAGCCAAAGCCAAAATCAACAACACGTATACGAGAAGCATGAATTACAACCTTTACCATTGACTACAGCTCCTACAACCAAAACTCTACTACTACAACCTCTCACACCCAATAAATTAACAAGGCGCCCACTTTCCTCCTCCTGCTCCCCCTTATCATCAAAAATATGCCTTAGGGAGCCCATAACCTCCGCCATCAACATAAAATCTCCTTTGTTTGAGGTGAAATTGGAATTGTTGGGCATGCAAATACGCTTTCAGCCAACTTTCGAGTCAAACGTGGAAAATAATTTTCAACAAATTGTTGAACAACTACTGCAAGATATCAGCAGGGCCTGCAACTGTATGCCACGTATATTTCGTGACAACAGTACAACACTATCGTCAGACGATGAATGGGGCGATATTTACGCGGAGCCTACTACAAAAGCTAAACAAATTCATGATTACAGGAATCGGCAGCCAAATAAAGGCAGACAGCATGAAGACATTATTGCAAGTCAGGTAGTTGGTAAAATAGATACAACTACTACAGCTATGACAAATAAAACATTTGCAGCGGCAACCATAAAAGGTATAATTATACGCTACCCCCAAAATCTCAAAAAATCAATTTGAATACAACTCAATACAAAATATTAAGATTAATTAGTTTCACTTTAACTCTATATCCAATTTTTTCCAAAAGCAGTTCTAAAGCCCCCAGATTGTTACATTTTTCCCCTCCTTTCTTTCGTCATCATTGTTCGAAAGTGTATAGTTTTTAAACCTTTCAAATAGTGTGGTTTCAATTAGAATACTTTTCGAAAACATAATTTGATTTAATGTTTTCCGATTTCGGCGTCCATTGGATTAAAATGTAAGAGACAGTTTTAGTCCAAATACCTAAAGAATGGAAAAGTGAAATGGGGAAATTAAATATAATTAGAACAGAACTAGAACAGAACAGAACTAGAACAGAACTAGAACAGAACTAGAACAGAACTAGAACAGAACTAGAACTAGAACAGAACTAGAACAGAACTAGAACAGAACTAGAACAGAACTAGAACAGAACTAGAACAGAACTAGAACATAACTAGAACAGAACTAGAACAGAACTAGAACAGAACTAGAACAGAACTAGAACAGAACTAGAACTAGAACAGAACTAGAACAGAACTAGAACAGAACTAGAACAGAACTAGAACAGAACTAGAACAGAACTAGAACAGAACTAGAACAGAACTAGAACAGAACTAGAACAGAACTAGAACAGAACTAGAACAGAACTAGAACGAACTAGAACAGAACTAGAACAGAACTAGAACAGAACTAGAACAGAACTAGAACAGAACTAGAACAGAACTAGAACAGAACTAGAACAGAACTAGAACAGAACTAGAACAGAACTAGAACAGAACTAGAACAGAACTAGAACAGAACTAGAACAGAACTAGAACAGAACTAGAACAGAACTAGAACAGAACTAGAACAGAACTAGAACAGAACTAGAACAGAACTAGAACAGAACTAGAACAGAACTAGAACAGAACTAGAACAGAACTAGAACAGAACTAGAACAGAACTAGAACAGAACTAGAACAGAACTAGAACAGAACTAGAACAGAACTAGAACAGAACTAGAACAGAACTAGAACAGAACTAGAACAGAACTAGAACAGAACTAGAACAGAACTAGAACAGAACTAGAACAGAACTAGAACAGAACTAGAACAGAACTAGAACAGAACTAGAACAGAACTAGAACAGAACTAGAACAGAACTAGAACAGAACTAGAACAGAACTAGAACAGAACTAGAACAGAACTAGAACAGAACTAGAACAGAACTAGAACAGAACTAGAACAGAACTAGAACAGAACTAGAACAGAACTAGAACAGAACTAGAACAGAACTAGAACAGAACTAGAACAGAACTAGAACAGAACTAGAACAGAACTAGAACAGAACTAGAACAGAACTAGAACAGAACTAGAACAGAACTAGAACAGAACTAGAACAGAACTAGAACAGAACTAGAACAGAACTAGAACAGAACTAGAACAGAACTAGAACAGAACTAGAACAGAACTAGAACAGAACTAGAACAGAACTAGAACAGAACTAGAACAGAACTAGAACAGAACTAGAACAGAACTAGAACAGAACTAGAACAGAACTAGAACAGAACTAGAACAGAACTAGAACAGAACTAGAACAGAACTAGAACAGAACTAGAACAGAACTAGAACAGAACTAGAACAGAACTAGAACAGAACTAGAACAGAACTAGAACAGAACTAGAACAGAACTAGAACAGAACTAGAACAGAACTAGAACAGAACTAGAACAGAACTAGAACAGAACTAGAACAGAACTAGAACAGAACTAGAACAGAACTAGAACAGAACTAGAACAGAACTAGAACAGAACTAGAACAGAACTAGAACAGAACTAGAACAGAACTAGAACAGAACTAGAACAGAACTAGAACAGAACTAGAACAGAACTAGAACAGAACTAGAACAGAACTAGAACAGAACTAGAACAGAACTAGAACAGAACTAGAACAGAACTAGAACAAACTAGAACAGAACTAGAACAGAACTAGAACAGAACTAGAACAGAACTAGAACAGAACTAGAACAGAACTAGAACAGAACTAGAACAGAACTAGAACAGAACTAGAACCGAACTAGAACAGAACTAGAAAAAAATGGAATTGATCTGAACCGTTGTAAACTTGAGGTAGAACTGTAAATAAAATAATATTTTTTATATTCATAAATTGACAACAATACTTTTATAAAACCCTAATGAATAGCTCATTTTCTCAAAAGGAAAAAACGCACATCTTTTAAACAATAAATGCAATTTGTTTGTTCACTTAAGCATAAGTCAAGTTAAATACTTGAATAACTTTTAGATTAAGTTCCCCACTACTTATGTATACATTTAACTTCTACTTTTTCACGATAAAATTTCCAATTTTTTTCTTCTCTATACATGCACCTTTATACCCATTTTAATTTCTTTGCCTTAAGATGTTGAAATAAAACAACTGAATACGAATATAAGAAAAATTGTCAGCGAAACGTTAAATGCTGCTAAATTGTATGCCCTGCAATTCGAAGCGTATAAACATTTATGGTGTGAAAAATATTCAAATGTTTTGAATCAGCACTTAAAGGATATAAAAGTAGCAACAACCACAACAAAACAACAAAGTAAAGGAAATGAACAAAAGCAGGATTTTACCATAAATAAAGAATATTATGTAATGGAAACATTTAAACGTGAGGTAAGTAATTCACTTGACTAAATTTTCAAAGCTGTTAACACATGTTACAACATTTTTTTTATTTTTTACTATTTAGTTAATGAAAGTCATAAAGATTGTTGCAATAAATTGAAGGTGTTTATTATTTGAAATATGTATAAGATTTCAACAAAAAAAAGGAATTTAGGTTTTAGAAGTGGTCAAAACGAATTTTAAATGTACCCTAAGGCTAAGTCATCAAATTTAAAAACTTGCATCAATCTTTCATTTGTTACATTCATTCTGTAACTTCTATAAGCCAGTTTTTTATAAAAGTAACATTCTTTTTACAAGTTTTATTTATTACTTTTCTCTCGTTTCCAACTGCTGATTCAACGAAATTTATCCTCCCGGTCAGAGCAAGATTAAGCCAAGTCAAATCAAATCAGTTTAGTTCAAAACAATAATTTTTGTTGGCACTTGCCTAAAAATGTTTTACACAGTTATTTATAGTTGAAATTCTCATAAAATGTTTATGCTCCTCATAAATAATGCTGCCATGCCTTTTGTTTCTTAACTATTCTTATTTGTTCTCTTTCTTCATAAACTAGCAAAAGAAAATGGAAATTACAAATTGTAGTCCACTACTGCACATAGACACGTATGACTATGAATATGTGAGTCCAAATACAAAGAGACATAAACAATATGCATCCAATTTCACTGAACTTTTTTCGGTTTTTATTCTTTGTGAATAACTGACCTGAGTAAAATATTTCTTCTCGTTTCTTGTTTTTGGTCTCATTTCATTTTTTTACTTTTTTCGTTTGCAGGCTTGATTGTCTCAAAAGCAATTTTGGTCACACATGTGGTCACTTTTAGACATTACAATACACTTACTCATTCCAATTTACAGGTTCATGCATACAGACTTACTATACTTTAGGAAATACGAAAAGGATGAATGTTTATATGCAAACGGAAAAATGTAGAGCAAAATAAAATTTAAAAAAATCTTTAAATTAGAAAACTGAAACTAGAACTGAACTAGAACTGAACTAGAACTGAACTAGAACTGAACTGAAACTGAACTAGAAACTGAACTAGAACTGAACTAGAACTGAACTAGAACTGAACTAGAACTGAACTAGAACTGAAGAGAACTGAACTAGAACTGAACTAGAACTGAACTAGAACTGAACTGAACTAGAACTGAACTAGAACTGAACTAGAACTGAACTAGAACTGAACTAGAACTGAACTAGAACTGAACTAGAACTGAACTAGAACTGAACTAGAACTGAACTAGAACTGAACTAGAACTGAACTAGAACTGAACTAGAACTGAACTAGAACTGAACTAGAACTGAACTAGAACTGAAACTAGAACTGAACTAGAACTGAACTAGAATGAACTAGAACTGAACTAGAACTGAACTAGAACTGAACTAGAACTGAACTAGAACTGAACTAGAACTGAACTAGAACTGAACTAGAACTGAACTAGAACTGAACTAGAACTGAACTAGAACTGAACTAGAACTGAACTAGAACTGAACTAGAACTGAACTAGAACTGAACTAGAACTGAACTAGAACTGAACTAGAACTGAACTAGAACTGAACTAGAACTGAACTAGAACTGAACTAGAACTGAACTAGAACTGAACTAGAACTGAACTAGAACTGAACTAGAACTGAACTAGAACTGAACTAGAACTGAACTAGAACTGAACTAGAACTGAACTAGAACTGAACTAGAACTGAACTAGAACTGAACTAGAACTGAACTAGAACTGAACTAGAACTGAACTAGAACTGAACTAGAACTGAACTAGAACTGAACTAGAACTGAACTAGAACTGAACTAGAACTGAACTAGAACTGAACTAGAACTGAACTAGAACTGAACTAGAACTGAACTAGAATGAACTGAACTAGAACTGAACTAGAACTGAACTAGAACTGAACTAGAACTGAACTAGAACTAGAACTGAACTAGAACTGAACTAGAACTGAACTAGAACTGAACTAGAACTAGAACTGAACTGGAACTGAACTAGAACTGAACTAGAAATGAACTAGAACTGAACTAGAACTGAACTAGAACTGAACTAGAACTGAACTAGAACTGAACTAGAACTGAACTAGAACTGAACTAGAACTGAACTAGAACTGAACTAGAAATGAACTAGAACTGAACTAGAACTGAACTAGAACTGAACTAGAACTGAACTAGAACTGAAGTAGAACTGAACTAGAACTGAACTAGAACTGAACTAGAACTAGAACTAGAACTGAACTAGAACTAGAACTGAACTAGAAAAATCCAAAGTAACAATATTTGAAGTGAAATTTACGTATACTTGATAATTTATTTATTAATAGTACTCATACGCCTAAGTCTGTATTAATTTATATGGATACACATCACTTCATTCAATTTGCTCAATTTTTTACGAAATAAAATATTTTTGTTATACACTGTAGACAAAATACATTATTTTATTCATTTGTTATTATGTGGTTATATGTACAAAACAGTATATTTTGCCACTATAGCTGTGGTCAATCTTGGCATTTTTATATGAATCTGCCACATATTGCAAGAAATTTCAACAGCAACAATAATAACCAATGTATATATAATATATTAAAGAAATTACACATATTTACTAACTAACACAAGTACTCACTACATATATTCATACACATACATACATACAGGCTTATAAATATGCTTAAAGTTAAAATATATATAGGCGACCACAATCACACAAGTTGTACCCACGGGACCAATAACATTTGATAAATGTTGAACGTTTAGGGCCAAACTACTGTTACTTGGCACTTGTACTCTTTTATTTTGTAACATTCATACTTGTACTCGTTTAAGTATTGTATTACAATTGAACTGAACAACAAAAACACTATTTTGCCTCTACAATCCCCTACAAATCCGTTTAAGCTCAATTTCAACTTGTGCTCTTAGCAATACTTAACAGGGGCCACGGTTACAAAACTGCCAACAGATGATTGCATTCATATGAAAAGTTGGCATCGTCTGAACTTAGTAAAGTAATACTTCTGTCTATATTTAATATGGAGCTAATGGAGCTACATTAACAAAACAATAACAAGAAACCAAGGAATATTGCAAGAATTTACACTTTTTTTCAACTCATACACATGTGTATATTTTAGTGAATAAGTTTAAATAATTGTGTGTGAATAAATCAAGTCCAGTGACATGTCTTTGGTTTTAATACAAAAAAAGCCAAAAATAAACAAGAAAAAAAATAATTCATTACAACTAGAACTGAGTTAGAACTGAACTAGAATTGAACTAGAACTAAACTAAAACTAAAATGAAGTAGAACTGATCTCGAAAATTTTTATGTTTGGTTACAAACTTTTATAACTTCTCTTTGTTATGTAACATTGGGCAGTAAAATCCTGTTTCCTTTTGTTAATTTTGTTAATAAATTCATAATTTAAATTGCAAAATCCTAAGCATGTAATTTTATTAACCTATTCATAATAAAATTGTTCGTTATTTTAGAAATTCAATATTTTTTTACCACCATTGCCACTACCTGAAAATTAAATTCAAATTGTTCAAGTCGTTTGGTTAACTTTTGGTTTGCCTTTAAGTTGTTTATTGTTTAATTTATGGTCTGCAATATTTTACTATTATTTTTGACCAAAAGCGTTTGGTGTTCACTCAAAACAAAAGGCTTAAAAGGGACGAAAATATGTATATAACCCAGCAAGTCCTAAAAGGAAAATATGATACTCCCTTGAAATGTATTTGAGATCAATTGCAGTACAAGTTTCTCATGATTTTCCAACGTTTATTAAGTCATTCAAAAACTCTTGAGAAAAAATAGTATGTAAATGGTTGCTGGGCTGCATAAGAAATACTTGTCATATACACTTAAATATTGTATATATGTATATGTACATATGTGTATATATATGTATGTACAACAAAAAAACAAGCAAATAATTCCAACTTAGTCCACTATTACAGCAACATCTAAGAACGACAACTTCAACTGCTGACTGGCTTTAAATCCCATTATAAGCCTTCTGAGTTCTAACCAAAAATAAAAAGACAAAGAACTAAAAAAATATTACGAATTTAAATTGACCATTTGACCGGGCCACAATGATATATGAACCAATTTCTTTAAGTTTAATAGGCTAAAACCACAAAACTTTAACCTCAACCGCAAATATTTTATATGTATATGAAAATACTAAAATGCTATGAAAATGTAGATATTCGCATGTGTATGTATAACTATGTTTATATGTATGTATATGCAATGAAATGTAACCATTATATTTCTACATAAATATTTCAATACAAGAAAAAAATCTTTATTTTGGCTTTAAAACACTCATACATTTTATTATTGTGTTTATTTGAGGTTTGTGATAGCCTTTGGTTTTTCTTTTGTTTTCCTTTGACCAATTCAAAGATACAATTTCATAAGAAAGACAATCTGAGACCGAAGATGTAAAATAATATTAATTTCTATTTTGTTAAAATTTTATTAGATATGCAAGTGAATGTTACTTTGACACCAATAATCGACATGTAGTATATGCTATTGGTGTTTGTGAATCAATAGTAGTTAGTTAATTAGTTAGTTAGTTAGTTAGTTAGTTAGTTAGTTAGTTAGTTAGTTAGTTAGTTAGTTAGTTAGTTAGTTAGTTAGTAGTTAGTTAGTTAGTTAGTTAGTTAGTTAGTTAGTTAGTTAGTTAGTTAGTTAGTTAGTTAGTTAGTTAGTTAGTTAGTTAGTTAGTTAGTTAGTTAGTTAGTTAGTTAGTTAGTTAGTTAGTTAGTTAGTTAGTTAGTTAGTTAGTTAGTTAGTTAGTTAGTTAGTTAGTTAGTTAGTTAGTTAGTTAGTTAGTTAGTTAGTTAGTTAGTTAGTTAGTTAGTTAGTTAGTTAGTTAGTTAGTTAGTTAGTTAGTTAGTTAGTTAGTTAGTTAGTTAGTTAGTTAGTTAGTTAGTTAGTTAGTTAGTTAGTTAGTTAGTTAGTTAGTTAGTTAGTTAGTTAGTTAGTAGTTAGTTAGTTAGTAGTGGATGTACTAAGTTATTAAAATATGTTTAATTTTTCAATACAGATTGAGCGTTACAATGAACTTCATGATGACATTGAGCTACGGAATGACTTCCATAATGTCAATGGCTGGTTGTCAATTGATATTAAACCCTTAAAATATACATTGCTAAATATGACTTGCAAGTGGTCACAATATTTTAAGAAAAGGCTTCTTCGTTATGTGGAAACTACACTGGAAGTGAGTTACAAATAAATAAATAACTAAAAAAATAAGTTTCACTTTCTCTTGATCAATAAATTCTTAAAAAAATGTGTTACATCATCAAAATAAAGTTTTTTTTTAATATTTTCATTCCCAATTTTCATGTTTTACTCCTTACAATAAAACCAATTTTCGTTTTAAACCCTTAATCCCCTCACTTGTACACATAATTAAGCTTCTACCTCATTAATATTTCACATCTTCCCTTTCTCTTCGATCATTTACAAAAGAAATTTAACAAATTCATTAAAAACGGCTTTGAATTACTGCAACTTCATGTTGCACGTAATGATTTTCGCACTTTGCTGCAAGTGCTTGAAGTGATGGCGCAAATTAAACAACGTGAAGCTTACGCTGATAATCTATTTAAGCCACTCAAGGAAATGATGCAACTACTAAAGACCTACAATGTTCAATACGACGGACAATTAGTGCGCAACATTGATCAGTTGCCGGTTCAGTGGCAACATCTTAAAGCACAGGCCGTCACAAAGTCAGAAGCTCTGCAAGATACAAAAAGGCATCAGCAGCAAAGAGTATCAGCCATAATCATGTTGTACATGTGTCATTTGCAAATATTTGCTAAGAAATTCCAAAAAATGGCGGTGAGTTTCGTTGTTTATGCGTGTGCTATAGGGTGCAATAAAGGATGAAGAAAGTAAATTTATTAAAGCATTATTTCTTTTGCTATTTTCTTTAAGTTTTTTCAAACGCCTTGTTCAGAAGTTTATAGTCTATGCGATGAAGTTTGTTTGAAAATGGAATGCTTCACTGCACAACATGAACGTATTTCCTATTGCTCCCAGCTGCTTGGTATTGCTGCACCGGATGATGATACCTTGCGTTTGTGTGCTGCTGAAGTGAGACGCGTCAAAGTAAGTTTGAACATTATTTAGTTGAAATTAAATGCAATGATGATTCTTTTTATAACTTTAGGTATTGATAATTGAATTCTGGTTAAAGTGTTTTTATATTTTTTATTTAAGGTTTTTTTATATTTTGTTTGAAAATTTATGAAAAAACTTTTACGAATTTCATTGCTATAGAAAGAAACTCATATTAAGGCTCTGAGGCGTATGAGTATTTTTATAGGCAATTTAATTAAATAATAAGTATACGCAACCTTATCTTAATGGAATTTTTTTAAATATAGGAAATTTATTAAGATACGGTTTAATAAAAATGTACTTAAAAAATTATTTTGCAGTTTTAGTTCAGTGCTAGTTCAGTCATTCAGGAAATTACAAAAAATTAATATCGCTTGCTTCTTTACAATTACCAACCTATTATGTACCAGCATCTCAATATTTCTTAATAAATAAATCAAATGTTCCTTTACGATCTTATTTACTTTCCTTTATATTCAATTTATTTCATTTTCCCTTCTATTTAAATATTTACCTCTGTGCCATGACACACACAGCAATTGTGGGACTTTGTACATGTCATCGAATCTTGTATTGATGATTGGCGCTCATCTCCATGGCTGCACATTGACACCGATGACATCGAAAACGAGTGCAAACAATTTACGCGCGACTTACGCACTCTTGACAAAAGCATACGCGAATGGTCGCCTTATTTGTATATTGTTGGAGTGTTGAGAGAATTAGTTGCATCGTTGCGTACTATTACCGAATTGCAAAATCCAGCAATTACCGAACGTCATTGGATGGAATTGATGCATGTAACAAAGGTAAGATCTGGTTTGCATGGATAGAGAATGGAATGTATAGTTTTAAACACGTTTTTGTCCAAATATGTTGATATATTTGTTTTAAGTTTAAATTGAATACATATTTTTATTGGTTTCGGCTTTACCTCTTTTGATTATTTAATATGCATTGAAATTTTAACTTTTGATATATCTTTATACTAAAGTACTGATTTCCTTAATATTACCATTGAAATGAAGCAAACTTATTTGTTTCCTATCCATGTTATTTATTTAAATATTTTGAATGTTTTTTTTTCTATCTTCAAAGGATATTCTGAATTCCCTTTTGGTTTAGCAATTTTAAATACTTACTATGTAGCTTAAATTTCTTACAATATTGCAATATTTATTTCCTATATAAATCACCATCTTATTTCAACATCATCCGTCCAGCCATCCATCAATATATTGATCCATTTTTTACTTGCAAACATTGTTTTCCAATTTAATTTTAACCATAACTTTGTTGTTTAGTTTCGGTAAGTAAAGTATGTACAATTTTCTTATTTTCTTAAACTTTTTTCTAAACTCTATGTTTTGTAAGGTAAATCGCCAAACAATTACTTAAATTAACATTACAAAGTAAAGTTGAAATTCAAACTTTCGGCAACATGTTTATAAAATCTCAACACGATGCAAATGATTACTTCTAAACACACGTAGTCATTGTATTAGATGCCTGAAGGTAAATTCACTTACGTTATTACCTATGTATGTATGATGGTGTAGTTACGTCTGACTGTAGGTATTTATCCCAACTACGGACACGTAGTGTTTGAAGGAGTTAAAAACAAAAAGAAAAACAACAGCTCTGTTTTTTTAGGCCAAAGGGTAAATTTTAACCAAGTGAACATTAAAATTATTTTAATTTATGAGGCGTAAATTGGAAAAACTAATTTTGAAGTTTTAAATGAAAACAAGCGAAGAATGTTAAAATATTTCAAGTTACTTGAAATAAATAAGGCGCTGATTTGAAATTAGCTTAACTTATTAATATTCCCAAAGTGATCGATGTTATGTCAGTTATGCTCGAAGCATAATAACAAAACTTATTAGTATTTTAAAATGTTTCATTACCATACAATTTGGCAATATAAAATATTAGATATTTCTGATTCGATACCATACAATTTGGCAATATAAAATATTATATATTTCTGATTCGATATATATAATGGCAATAACTTCTGGGTCCAACATGACCCAATTCGATTTGATAACTACATCTATCTGTGGTTATTTCGATGAAAAATCTAATCGATCGCAGACCAATTTAAGTGGATTTTAAATTTGTAATTTTGAGTGATCATTTATCACAAATATTCGAAATTTTCTCAATTGGAGGTTATTTAATGATCTACAGCTAATTTAAAATCCTTCTTGACAAAATTCAATTTTACTGTTTCGATGGAAAATAGAAAGTAGGATCATTCATTTTCCGTTTGAGTGATCACAGATTACTAATTCGCGTTACAGCCAATTTAAAATCCGTTGAAAAAGATGGGTGATCGCGGTTTTTTGTCATTTTCTCCGTTTTAAGGAGTCATTTTAGAAATTAAATCCAATCTTAATTTCTGATTTAAATTAGAAAGTCTGCTGTCGTTAATTTTTTTCTCAATTAATTCAGTTCTAGTTCAGTTCTAGTTCAGTTCTAGTTCAGTTCTAGTTCAGTTCTAGTTCAGTTCTAGTTCAGTTCTAGTTCAGTTCTAGTTCAGTTCTAGTTCAGTTCTAGTTCAGTTCTAGTTCAGTTCTAGTTCAGTTCTAGTTCAGTTCTAGTTCAGTTCTAGTTCAGTTCTAGTTCAGTTCTAGTTCAGTTCTAGTTCAGTTCTAGTTCAGTTCTAGTTCAGTTCTAGTTAAGTTCTAGTTCAGTTCTAGTTCAGTTCTAGTTCAGTTCTAGTTCAGTTCTAGTTCAGTTCTAGTTCAGTTCTAGTTCAGTTCTAGTTCAGTTCTAGTTCAGTTCTAGTTCAGTTCTAGTTCAGTTCTAGTTCAGTTCTAGTTCAGTTCTAGTTCAGTTCTAGTTCAGTTCTAGTTCAGTTCTAGTTCAGTTCTAGTTCAGTTCTAGTTCAGTTCTAGTTCAGTTCTAGTTCAGTTCTAGTTCAGTTCTTTCAGTTCTAGTTCAGTTCTAGTTCAGTTCTAGTTCAGTTCTAGTTCAGTTCTAGTTCAGTTCTAGTTCAGTTCTAGTTCAGTTCTAGTTCAGTTCTAGTTCAGTTCTAGTTCAGTTCTAGTTCAGTTCTAGTTCAGTTCTAGTTCAGTTCTAGTTCAGTTCTAGTTCAGTTCTAGTTCAGTTCTAGTTCAGTTCTAGTTCAGTTCTAGTTCAGTTCTAGTTCAGTTCTAGTTCAGTTCTAGTTCAGTTCTAGTTCAGTTCTAGTTCAGTTCTAGTTCAGTTCTAGTTCAGTTCTAGTTCAGTTCTAGTTCAGTTCTAGTTCAGTTCTAGTTCAGTTCTAGTTCAGTTCTAGTTCAGTTCTAGTTCAGTTCTAGTTCAGTTCTAGTTCAGTTCTAGTTCAGTTCTAGTTCAGTTCTAGTTCAGTTCTAGTTCAGTTCTAGTTCAGTTCTAGTTCAGTTCTAGTTCAGTTCTAGTTCAGTTCTAGTTCAGTTCTAGTTCAGTTCTAGTTCAGTTCTAGTTCAGTTCTAGTTCAGTTCTAGTTCAGTTCTAGTTCAGTTCTAGTTCAGTTCTAGTTCAGTTCTAGTTCAGTTCTAGTTCAGTTCTAGTTCAGTTCTAGTTCAGTTCTAGTTCAGTTCTAGTTCAGTTCTAGTTCAGTTCTAGTTCAGTTCTAGTTCAGTTCTAGTTCAGTTCTAGTTCAGTTCTAGTTCAGTTCTAGTTCAGTTCTAGTTCAGTTCTAGTTCAGTTCTAGTTCAGTTCTAGTTCAGTTCTAGTTCAGTTCTTAGTTCTAGTTCAGTTCTAGTTCAGTTCTAGTTCAGTTCTAGTTCAGTTCTAGTTCAGTTCTAGTTCAGTTCTAGTTCAGTTCTAGTTCAGTTCTAGTTCAGTTCTAGTTCAGTTCTAGTCAGTTCTAGTTCAGTTCTAGTTCAGTTCTAGTTCCGTTCTAGTTCAGTTATAGTCAGTTCTAGTTCAGTTCTAGTTCAGTTCTAGTCAGTTCTAGTTCAGTTTGTCAGTTTCTAGTTCATTTCTAGTTCATTTTAGTTCATTCTCGTAGTTCAGTTCTAGTTCAGTTCTAGTTCAGTTCTAGTTCCAGTTCTAGTTCAGTTCTTAGTTCAGTTCTAGTTCAGTTCTAGTCAGTTCTAGTTCAATTCTGCGTTCAGTTCAGTTCGTTCTAGTTCAGTTCTAGTCAGTTCTAGTTCCAGTTCTAGTCAGTTTAGTCAGTCTAGTTCAGTTCTAGTTCCGTTCTAGTTCAGTTCTAGTTCAGTTTCTAGTTCAGTTATAGTTCAGTTCTAGTTCAGTTCTAGTTCAGTTCTAGTTCAGTTTAGTCAGTCTAGTTCAGTTCTAGTTCAGTTCTAGTGCAGTTCTAGTTCAGTTCTAGTTCAGTTCTAGTTCAGTTCTAGTTCAGTTCTAGTTCAGTTCTAGTTCAGTTCTAGTTCAGTCTAGTTCAGTTCTAGTTCAGTTCTAGTTCTAGTTCTAGTTCAGTTATAGTTCAGTTCTAGTTCAGTTCTAGTTCAGTTCTAGTTCAAGTTCTAGTTCAGTTCTAGTTCAGTTCTAGTTCAGTTCTAGTTCAGTTCTAGTCAGTTCTAGTTAGTTCTCGTTAAGTTCTCTAGTTCAGTTCTAGTTCAGGTCTAGTTCCGTTCAGTTCAGTTCTAGTTCAGTTCAGTTCAGTTATAGTTCAGTTCTAGTTCAGTTCTAGGTTCAGTTCTAGTTCAGTCTAGTTCAGTTCTAGTTCAGTTCTAGTCAGTTCTAGTTCAGTTCTAGTTCAGTTCTGTTCGTTCTAGTTCAGTTCTAGATCAGTTCTTCTAGTTCAGCTTCTAGTTCAGTTAAGTTCAGTTCTATTTCAGTTTTTAGTTCAGTTCTAGTTCAGTTCTAGTTCCGTTCTCGGTCAGTTTTCTAGTCAGTTCTAGTTCAGTTCTAGGTTTAATTGTAGAATCATTGGGGTATTAAGCTAGGTTTCGACTTTATTCGGGCCTACTATGTACATATAATGTATGTATTATGGGTATGTGTTACATTTCTTTAGTTAGCAAGAAATATAGGTGTTTCGAACAGCATACAAAAATGCTAAACAACAAACAGTATCTTCATATTTATGTACTTCTGCAACAGAACTCACATGCTTACACACACACAAGATACAAAACTCCTAAAATCTTACACCAATTCTTACACTTCTCTTCTATAATTTTACGAAACACTCAAACACTCAAGAACTATAAAACAACTTATGTACAAAACAAAAATTTTGTAATTTTTTTTTTTTTTTCATTCAATTCAAAAGGTGTGATTTTTGTTAAGGATTTACGTGAACTTGTAGAGAAAATTTCAATTTGATTTTAGAATAAAATTTACAGAAGATTTAATAACGGAATATAAATACTACACTGATTGTTGAGATTTTATTAAAGTATTAGTGACCACTGAATTTTGTTCGTTTATCAATTACAGCACTTTTGAGGGATCTACATTTGATTTTGGGTTTTATTATCACTGATTTTTACTATATTTTTTCTATTATAGTGTCATTGAAGGATCTCAATCGGAACGTAATTAAAGAAGTGAGGTTGTTCATAAAAAATTTAATATAAAATTTAAGTGATCTCAATTTGAGCATTAATTAAAGATCTGTAGCTGATTTTAGATTTTTCATATAAAATTTAATTTTAGCTATTTTTCTATTAAAGCATTATATAAGAATCTAAAGTTGTAAGTGATTACCGATTTTCATAACCACAATTACTAAAATACAATAAAGAGCATGCAGCAACAAACCACGTACAAATATATAGTTTTCGTAATTGTAACAACTCCACACATAATTTCTCAAAATATTATTTAGAACAAAGATAACAACTCACACACTAGTGCAAACACAAACACC